AACAGCCGCAGGGACTGAACAAAAAACGGAGAAAGAAGAGGGTTTAAACTCCACTAAGACTCTATAAACAGGGGGAGCGCAGAGGCTGAAACTCTGCAGCTCTTTACCTGGTGGAGCTCTGGTGGGAAGAATCCCCAGGAGCAGAGTGAAGTTCAAGGGTTCTCAGGCCACCGGCAGAGGCGGTTCACCTGCTGGGAGGACATCTGGTAGAGGCCGTGCCACACGTCCTGCGAATGTTCCTGGGTACGGCCGGCACCCGGCGGTTGCTTGGTGAGACCCTCCCCCAGAAGGTCTGAGCAGGTCAAAGCCACAGTCCCTCGGAAGTGAGGGGTCGGGAAACAGCCGCAGGGGAGATAAAGCTCAGGAGGGAGGTGCCGCCTGGCAGCCTGATGGCTGGGCCACAGACAGTGTAAAGGCGGGGAGTGGATGGAAGCCGGAGCCAAAGGACGGGTGCGGATGGCTGAGCCCAGAGAACAGAGTTCCCATACTAGAGACTGGGTAGTTGGGTCACGCCATTTTCCCTCCTCGCGCACGCATAGGGACCGACAAGCGCCGCAACAATCCACCTCAATAAGCTAAGCAGCGCCACCTAGTGGAGAATGGAGCCATTACACTAAGCCCCGCCCAACTGGGCCACCCTCGCTCTTCAGGAACACCGCAAGTCTCTCTGCCTGCTTAGTTTACAGACTATAACGTGCTTCACAGTTTGACCTCTAGGGGAAAACGATGTAATTTCAATTACACTTCAGTCTGTTTGCTGGTCCATCTATTCAATTTTTTTTTCGTTTTCTTTTCTTTTTCTTGAATACAGAAAGAAAAAATTTATTTTTATTTTCACTTGTTATTAAAAATAGTTTTTAATTTTTTACTATATTTTTTACTTTTTTGTAAATTTTCCAAACTCTATTTTACTTCCATCTTTTCGTTTTGTTCTATTTCATTGTATTCATTTTTTCAAATTTTCAAACTTTTTTTTCTTTTCTTATCTTTCCCTTTTTTTTTCTAATCTATTGAGCTCCTTTCAACAACCAGACCAAAATACACCTAGGATCTAGCATCATTTATTTGATTTTTAAACATTTTTTAATTTTAGGTTTTTTGTTTGTTTGTTTGTTTTACCTTATTCCTTTTCTTCCTTCAAAATGATGAAATGAAGGAATTCCCCCCCAAAAGAAAGAGCAAGAAGAAACAACAGCCAGGGACTTAAGCAAGCCAGCAAGATGTCTGAACCAGAATTTACAATCACGATATTAAGAATACTAGCTGGGGTTGAAAATACATTAGAATCCCTTTCTGCAGAGATAAAAGAAGTAAAAGCTAGTCAGGATGAAATAAAAAATGCTGTAACTGAGCTCCAATCTCAAATGGATGCCACGGCAAGGATGGATAAGGCAGAGCAACAAATCAGCAATACAGAAGACAAACTTATGGAGAATAATGAGGCAGAAAAAAAGAGGGAGATTAAGGCAAAAGAGCACGATTTAAGAATTAGAGAAATCAGCAACTCATTAAAAAGGAACAACATCAGAATCATAGGAGTTCCAGAAGATGAAGAGAGAGAAAAAGGGGTAGAAGGGTTATGTGAGCAAATCAAAGCGGAAAACTTTCCTACCCTGGGGAGAGACACAGACATCAAAATCCAAGAAGCACAGAGGACTCCCATTAGATTCAACAAAAACTGACCATCACTCTGGAAAACAGTATGGAGGTTCCTCAAAAAATTAAAAATAGAACTACCCTACGACCCAGCAGTTACACTACTATGCATTTATCCAAGGGATACAGGTGTGCTGTTTCGAAGGGGCACATGCACCCCACTGTTTATAGCAGCACTATCAGCAATAGCCAAGGTATGGAAAGAGCCCAAATGTCCATCAATGGATGAATGGATAAAGAAAATGTGGTGTATATATATATACGATGGAGTATTACTCAGCAATCAAAAAGAATGAAATCTTGCCATTTGCAACTATGTGAATGGAACTAGAGGGTATTATGCTAAGTGAAATCAATCAGAGAAAGACAAATATCATATGACTTCACTCATATGAGGACTTTAAGACACAGAACAGATGCTCACAAGGGAAGGGAAGCAAAAATAATAGAAAAACAGGGAGGGGGACAAAACATAAGAGACTCTTAAATATGGAGAACAAACAGAGGGTTACTGGAGGGGTTGTGGGAGGGGGGATGGGCTAAATGGGTAAGGGGCATTAAGGAATCTACCCCTGAAATCATTGTTGCACTATATGCTAACTTGATGTAAATTTAAAAAATAAATAAAGGGGGGGGGGGGGGGAAAAGCAAAATTAAAAGGCCACATCCCAACCTCCTTAATTATAATCTTCAGAGGTGGGGACCTGCAATCTGGATGCCCACTGAAGTTTGAGAACCACTATAAAGCTGATCAGACTGACAAAAAACAAGAGTGGAGAGCCTCAGCCCAAATCAGGCCTGGAGACACCAACAGAAAAGGTAAAAGCAATTCCAAGGATGCTCTAAGCTGAGTCAACAAGGGACAGAAGGTGGAGGCCTCCAGCTAGCTGCAACTGTCAAGTCCTAACCTTGCCCACCTCCAAAACCAAGTGGTGGGTACAGTGTGAGAGCTGTGCCCCACATAGAAGAGCTATATCCTCAGAAGAAAGCCCGGTATATTTTGGCAAAGAGACGGGGGTGATGATGGGACAAGAACGTAGATCTCCTGCCCATTCCCCATCCATGTATTCTAAAAAGTCTGCATGAACAAGCCCCCCTTTCTAGGTCAAAAGTCTTTTGGAGACAAGAAGGCTTATACCAATGTGGGGAAAGTCCACACCCAACTCTCAATCCATTCATCAAGTAAATCTTTCATATGTAAGAGTGATCCTTTAAAGGCAACAAATAGTGGTAAAGATAATTAATAAACTGAACAAATTAAAAGTTGGCAGTAGGAACAAAAGTAATTAGAGGAATAGAAAATAAAGTGAAAATTCCAATTGCTATCCTCAGAAACAGAAGGGTACTCCAGCTATGAAAAAAGCAATTAGAACAAGAAATCTTGAATATTTAAAAACAAATTACTAAACTTAAGATGAAATAGAAAAGCTAAAATACTAATGTCATGGACACACCTGAAGAGAGAATCAGTGATCTGGAAAATAACATCTGAAGAAGTCTTCCAGAATGGAGCAAAAAGACCAAGACAAAATATAAATGTCCAATGACAGAAGATGAAGGCAGGAGGTCCCACAGTTACCCAGTAAGAGGTGCAGAAAAATAAAACAGATAAAATGGAAAGAAAGTCATTAAGGATGTCTTTCTAGAAGCTGCCCTCAGTGCAAGAATGGTCCAATTCTGCAAAGTGAAAGGACCATGGGGTATGGGAAATGTTCCACATACCCAGACACATAAGGGTGAAATTTTAGGACTCAAACCATGAAAAGAAAATCCTAAAAGTTTTTCAGTGACAGACAAGCAGGTTTCTACCAATAAATAAAAAGAGAAGGTGAGAGAATCAGATTGGTGTCTGGGTTTTAAATCAGCAATACTAGATGCTAGCACACAATCATGTTAAGGCTTTACAATTCTCAAGGGAAATGATGTTGAACCTAACACCCTAAACTCAATTTTTAAAAAAATTCAGGGGCGCCTGGGTGGCGCAGTCGGTTAAGCGTCCGACTTCAGCCAGGTCACGATCTCGCGGTCCGTGGGTTCAAGCCCTGCGTCAGGCTCTGGGCTGATGGCTCAGAGCCTGGAGCCTGTTTCCGATTCTGTGTCTCCCTCTCTCTCTGCCCCTCCCCCGTTCATGCTCTGTCTCTCTCTGTCCCAAAAATAAATAAAAAACGTTGAAAAAAATTTTTTTTAAAATTCAAATGGAGGATTCAACATTTAATGACCTGATGATATGCTTCAGTACACCAAAAACCTCACCCTGGGATGCAAGAAAAAGCAGTGAAAAGGACACAATAAAACTTAGTTGTCTAAATAACGACGCATACTGTTAAACACACACAAACACACACACCAAGATAATAGAGATTAATCTGAAACAAATACATGATCACACCAGGAGAAAAGGTCCAGGTGGGCAAGTGCAAGAATGCTAAGGGAGAAGGGTGGAGGACATGGCCACTGTAACTGCAAACACAGAGAAAAGGGTAACCACTAAAGGAACGGCAATATGGTTAATTATTTCCAAAGCACTAGAAAGAAAAACGAAGAGAAAAAAACAACACTCAATCGTGCCACTGAAAAGCTGACATAAAATGGCAGGGACAGTCCAAACATTTCAACAATTTCCATTAACTGGATTAAATTCCCCAGAGACTATTAGACTGAACTCCCAAAAAGCTGTTTTGACTAGAGTCATTAGGGAAAATAGAAGCCAGGGCAGGACTGAGGACAAAAAAAGAGCACTGCATAGTTATAAAAGGCACAACTCAGCAAGAGTCATCATAGAATGCTTTCACATCTCAGAAATCAATTTACTATATGAATAGGAGAGGAATGTAGAGGTGCCTGAGTGGCGCAGTCAGTTAAACATCCGACTTCAGCTCAGATCATGATCTCACAGTCTAGGAGTTTGAGCCCCACGTCTGGCTCTGTGCTGACAGCTCAGAGCCTGGAGTCTGCTTCGGATTCTGCGTCTCCCTCTCTCTCTGCCCTTCATGCTCGTGCTCTGTCTCTCTCTGTCACTCAAAAATAAATGATTTAAAAAAAAATTTTTTAAAGACAGAGAGAAATGTAGACTGTATGAGCAATTAACAAGCTAAATCCAAAAATCCTTCTATCCAAGAAGAGGCACCCCTCCCCTCAAAAAAACTCACAGAACATTTACAAATATTGACCATGTATTCCATGAAGGAGAAGCAGTATGGGCTGTATTCTAGGTGCCTGGAAATTTTAAATGCGCTTGAATAATTCCTGGGTTAAGTATAAAGGTAACTGAATCTGAAATTACCCCCTAGAAATAAACAGCAGTCACCAGAGCTCAAGACTGCCAGACACAGTCAAGGTAGTACTCAGAAGAGCATTTTCAGTCTTAAATACATTTATTAGAAAACAAGAGAAATTGAAAATCAAACGTTGCACAATACACTTTAAGGCAGCGGTTGTGCACATCCCTGGAGACCCAGGGGTCTGTGAAAGTAGCCCTGGAGTCTGGAATCATTTATGTACTTACAGCCTATGGAATGTGCATGCCAACCTGTGATAAAACTGCAGACTAAGTCATGTTTTACAACATCAACCCCATTTGTAACCCTGGTTACTTCATGACGATGAGATGACGGGTTAAGAGTCACAACTATGAATAATACAAAAATTAAACTGAGTTCCTTAAAGTCAGGCAAGGCCTCGTTCATGTTGATACCTTTAATCCATGTATAGTGGTGGCACATAAGCAAGCACTCAACAGTACTGTAAAACCTGAATTAAGTAATGTACTGGACAGATGATTTTCAAAAGCATTGGATTCACTGGAAGAGGAGAATAAAAGAGACTAAAACGGTCTATATGGTGGTTACAAAGTTGGGAAACACAGACCTAATATGAATTTTAATCTCAGCTCTGTAATCAAATAATGTTACATGCCAGGTGTTCCAGGATTCTGGATAAGATGAGGTCTTCCTTCAAGGCTCCCATCAGCTTTCTTGCCTTTTTCTTGCAGGCAAGATTCATAGACTTCCATAATCACCATGTCAGATAAAATCAGTTTTTCAACTACAACAGACTGATTTTTAAAAACCCAGTCAAAAAGGGAAAGTTCCTGCTCTAGCTAGCACAGGTGACTACAACATAAAATCAAAATCTCTAGTAGGACAGGACTCAAAAAGATCTATTTATTTAAGACATTTTAAAAGGGTTCAATTAATATGTTCATAGGATGAATTTTAATTAAATCTTAAAACTGAGGCTTTCCGTTATTTCACAAACTACTGTTTTGGCTATAAATTAGTTGGACCTCATCCAGTACCATGCTTTACATAGTTTTCAACAGAAAAATTAAAAAGGTACAATTCTGAACTATACCAAAAAGAAGTACTTTCAGTGACTCCAAACACACATGGAGGACATATCTATATTAATATACCAAACTTGAACATTAATTAATATACTTGAATTACTTAAGTAGTGCCAATAGGTGAATTTCAAAATGTCCTTTGAAATAAAGAGGGAAATTTTAAATTTCAAGACCTTCGAGTTGAATTAATTGATAGGATTTATTTTTAAAAGAGGGGGCGCCTGGGTGGCGCAGTCGGTTAAGCGTCCGACTTCAGCCAGGTCACGATCTCGCGGTCCGTGAGTTCGAGCCCCGCGTCAGGCTCTGGGCTGATGGCTCAGAGCCTGGAGCCTGTTTCCGATTCTGTGTCTCCCTCTCTCTCTGCCCCTCGCCCGTTCATGCTCTGTCTCTCTCTGTCCCAAAAATAAATAAAACGTTGGAAAAAAAGAATAAACATTTAAAAAAAATAATAATAATCCCCCTTGCTATAAAGAATGATTCTTGCTCTCCTGCATTAAAAGCAAAATGACTATTTCTCTCCCTAACCTACAGCTTTGCTCAGCTGAATTCAACATTTTTAAAGCTTTTTTCTCTACTACTAAACCAGTATCTTCCATTCTTAACTGGTCCAAGAGCAAACTACCTTATATGACAGCAATACATACAAATAAATAAAAATAAAAAGTAGAATTCTGCCAGCAATTATTATGCACAACCCCAACAATACAGACACACTCTTAAAAATCAGTTATGTATTTATTTGCATAGATTCAAAGGAAAGAATTAAAAATCCAACATAATATCCCATGAGGCTGACAATTTAATTATTAATCCAGTTTTCTTTTAAAAATGTTTTCCTCTACTAACTTTAGGAGTTACATGAGCACTGAAACATCAGGTACCTATACATCTTTAGTTTTTGCAGAATTAGCATTAAGTCCAAAAAAGTCATTTTTGATGATGTACCGAACACACTGCAAAATAACATTTCTTTCATGTCGAATGTCTGGAGCTAAAAGCTGAAACAAAAAACAAAACAAAACAAAAACAATAAAATGATTAGCTGGTAAATAAAACATATCCAAGAAATACAATCTAAAATATTATTATATTTAAATTATTTGTTAAAAAATAATGCAGGAACATTTCCTTTTAACTTATACCAAGACTATCTAGCTTTTTAAACAGCACCAATGTTCACATTTGGGGTCCTCTCTAGGAGTATCTAACAAAGGACAGGAAATATAGGTTTAAAAGTCTGCAATTCTTTAATCTACAAATCCTGTCAAAGAGGACCCTCCTAAAACCAAACCTACAAACAGTATAGAAACTGATAAGCAGATATATAAATACAGTAATAATGAAACCAGCAGTAAAAAATCCCAACATTCCTGGAATGTTACAACTTTTCATTTTTGTGCTTATTGTAATCAAAAGAAATCTAAAAATCCCTGACTTTTAGAAGAAACACATAACCAAGGAATCATATGTGATTTGTAGAAAAGAGGAAGATCACTCAATTTCTTTTCTGATGTCATTAGTGTAGTCTAGAAACATCACAGAGGAACAAATGTTCAGTGGAGAGAGGATTTAATTTACTACTTATAAGGTAAGTATTTTAAAAATGCAATTTATATAAACACTGAAATTTACATTTCACATCAATTTTAAGAAGAAGCAACAGTGTCTACATGTAACACCTCAAAGAGTGCAGGCACAGAACACTTTAGCTACAGCATAAGCACTTACCTGACGGAGCAAAAACAGACTTTCACACAACAGTTCAACAATGTCAACAGTTCTACAACTCTAGTAAAAAATTTGGAATATTTTCTATCACTCTTAGCATGAAAGTCCTGGGTCAATGAACAGCTTCATGTCCATTACTTAGAATCAAAAGATGTGATGCTTCCTCTTTTAAAATTTGTTGAAGAAATAAGATTTTTCAGCATATCACGCTGAGAATAAAGTCAATAACGCACAAAATAAATGCATAAAAACCTCTTTCTCCCTTTAGTCTGCCACTGCATTTATCTGTGCTTTCAATGAAAACTTTAACAATGTCAGCACACCTCAATACATATTTCCTTGCCAATCAGTTAAATCTAGATTCTTTTATTTTAAGCAGCTTTGAAAAGTGTAACTATTCCACACATTACCAGACGTCAGCTATATGTGAAATGAAGCTTCAAAGTTAAGATACACAGTTGAGTCGTCAAGGAGCAAATGTTGTTGGTGACCTTAAAAAACACGCATCGTGAACCCACACACAAACCCAGTGGCTCTGTCTTCATCATCTGAGAAAAACACAAAGATTACAATGTAAAGAACAGTCATTTACCATTTCCAGGAGATATGGATGGTGTGTTCTTGGTTCAAATAATGTTTGATAGTTGTGATAATCTTTTCTCCTCTTAGGGTTTGTCTTTTTAAAACTTTTCTTTTGGCTCTCATACTTTCTAACAGTCACTTTAACATCTTGACTTGGTTTCTTAGGAGTTTCACTATGAAGAACCTCATCTTCCACCAGAATGTCTGCTTCAGTCTTAATGGGAGCTTCTAAATGTGATGAACAAAAAAATACAAAAATAAATAACAAAAAAAAAAACCTGGTAAACTTCCAATAATTAAAAAAAAAAAAAAGTCAATAATTCCCCCCCCCCCCCCCAGCAGCCATAATACTGGCTACTTAGTACTAAAAACTAGGCATTTATAATATAGCACAATATTTTTCAAGTTGGGAATATAATTTGCCAAGAATTGAAGAGATTACCATAAAGAGCTACAGAAAGTGATCCCTATGAAGGAAATAATACCAGATGGAAACCTGAATCTACACAAAGAAATGAAGAGTGTCAGAAATCGTCAATATGTGGATAAATACAAAAGACATGTTTTCTCATTTGCAAAAGGTTTTAAAGATAACTGTTTATTCAAAGCCAAAATAATAACAATGTATGGGGGATTTATAACATCTCTCGGAAAACCCATGATAACAATAGCACTAAGGAAGGGAAGAGGAAAGTGTAAGTATATTGCTATAAAATTCTTAAACTATATATGAAGTGGTGCAATATCATTGAAACTATATGGCAACAAGTTGAATGAAGATGCATACTATAAACTCTAGACCAATTCCTAAAAAATAAAAAAGAGGTTCAACTAATAAACCCATATTTGCACTACCCTAAAACTAAGACAAGATAAATGCAAAGGCAGGAAAAGAAGGAAAAGAGAACAAAAAACAACTGAGACAAAAAGAAACAAGCCAAATCAATTACCATGTATATAAATAATTTAAACATCACACTTAAAAGGGTGAGTGGTCAGACTGGGGAGAAAAACACAAGACCAATTACATAATGTCTACGAGAACCCAACCTTAAACTGTAGCCAGTCCTTGCCTTGCACGAACAGGAATGACATTAAATCTCAGTTACCAAGGAAGTACAAAGCAAGGACTGCCTGTGACCCCTCACAGGTTAAAAGTAAAAGGAGGCGGGCACCTAGATGGCTCAGTCAGTTAAGCTTCTGACTTCAGCTCAGGTCCCAATCTCACAGTTCTTGAGTTTGAGCACCACATTGGGCTCTCTGCTGTCGTCAACATAGAGCCAGCTTCAGATCCTCTGCCCCACCCCTCCTCTCTGCCCTTCTCCCACTTGGTTCTCGTTCTCTCTTTCTCTCTCAAAATAAATAAGTAAGTAAGTAAGTAAATTAATTAATTAATTAATTAAAAAAATGTTAAAAGGAGTGGGGGCGCCTGGGTGGCTCAGCCGATTGAGCCTCTGACTTCGGCTCAGGTCATGAATCTCAAAGTTCGTCGTGGGTTTGAGCCTGGCATCGGGCTCTGTGCTGACAGCTCAGAGCCTGGAGCCTGCTTCAGATTTTTGTCTCCCTCTCTGCCCCTCCCCAGCTTGTACTCTGTCTCTCTCTCTCAAATAATTTAAAAAAAAAAAAAAAAAAGGAGAGAAGAAGATACCATGCATATGCCAATCATAAAAATGTTAGATCAGCTATATCAATATCAGACA